TTTTGAGACGTCATTTGTCTCTGAAGCGAGCTAAAACTCTAAACACTATAAAAATGGCCTACTATTATCATAACATTTCACACTCGGAGGGGCACAAAGATGGCGGACGCCCATATTTGGATAGGTCGAAATAGGTCAGTGACGTCACGTGAAAGCCAAGAATACTGAGTTCAAAGTGATAACTTAACATTTTTTACCCACTTCCAATGATAAACTACTCAAGTTGTCACTCACGTTTATTAGCAAGCATATCACTAACAGACTATTAACTGTTTAGTTCGGATCGTATTACTTGTCAAACCGCTTCGGAGCATAGGGAATTGTCTGAGTTGAGCTAATAAAGCCCGAGCCGATCTTAATACTGTATTATCAGATCAGTGTTCAGTGTTTGTCACTCAGAATCTCTAAAAGGAATTTTATCTCTCTTCGGGTATTGATAAATGGTTTCAAACGGCTTGGTTGTGGTTCACTACGGCAGGGCAAGGCAACAGCAAAGAGGTTCGTGAATTTTGGGAATCAAGGTTAGACATTGTTTTGAAGAAGACACGCTGGGATATTGACTTTATCTTAAACAAACTTTCAACTATTGGACAAATTGAAACCGATGATTCTATAGCTGGAAAACCAATGGAATAGATTGAGTAATCACGGAGTTTATAGTTGACCAAACTACCTGGTTTTGAGACTGTTAAATGAGCTGTTAATGAAATATTGAAGGCCCAGACGATAACAGTAAGTCGACAAACCGCAACTAAAACGAGTATAATACCATCCCCAAGGTCACTTTCAAAACCAATAGAATTAACTATTGTTTAGCAGTGGTATTTACACAATGGAAAGTGACTTAGAACAGGAGTACCTCTCAGAAAACGACAAAGACTACGACATGGCGAACATCACAGTACCCTTAAAGGCCATTCCAGCATACATCACTATCCAGTTTGCATGGTATTCGTTCATCTTTACTCTAGGCGTTATAGGAAACCTCTACATCACTCTAACTGTGACTTGCCGCAAAGAGATGACTACCACGACCAATTATTTCATCTTCAACCTCGCTGTTTCTGATTTAGGGATTCTTTTAGTGTCACTGCCTTCTCACGTAATTCGGGATTTTTTCTCCTGGTCTTTCGGGAAGATCGCTTGTCAGGTCATCATTTCCATGAACGAGGTATTCTTTTCGGTGTCAATTTGTACAATAACTGTAATCACATTAGAAAGATACCGAGCAATCGCCTTGCCATTCAAACCCAAGACAAGTACAAGAGGTGGAAAAGTAACAATCGCACTGATTTGGCTTGTGTCGTACTTGGTTATTGGCTTCCCAATGACCTTCCATATGGATCTAGAACTCATTGATCAGCGACTAATTTGTCTTCCTAAATGGCCTTCCAAAGACGTGAACAAGATACAGACTTGTTTGATAGTCACTTTGATCATCATTCCCCTAGTCATAACCGGCTATGCCTACACAGTGATGATAAAAACCCTTCGACAGCAAAGCCAAAGGCTTCAAGAAAGAGCAAATTGTCACAGAGTGTCTAGAACATCGCTGAACAGCTCAACATCGCTAAAACAAGATCACCGACGACATCGCTACAACGCCAAGTTAGTTAAGATGCTCATTGTCATCGTTGTGGTTTTCTGGATTTCCATGCTTCCTCTTACGCTGCTCGCTCTTGTGGTGGAGTTCTTCCCCGATGTGAGAGTCGCAAGCAAAGCGATTGATGGACTCTACACTATCTTTGTTGCTTTGTTTTATTCAAACAGTGCTTTCAATCCAGTTGCTATCTATATTATGAGTTCTGATCTTCGTAAGGGCTTAAACACTATATTATTCTACAAAAAGCGACGCCTTAGCGAAATCAGGCATATGCATTACGTTGCTCAGAACTAAACTCATCATATGAGAAGTACTTTTTGATGGTTGTTATCAACACTTGGAGGATAATTCACAAAAACTTATCGTTTCCATGTGCTAGAGTCATTATACCAGGCTCCAAAAATAACATAAYTATTTTTTTATTTCGTCTTTTAAGCGATGTTTATAATTCCAGTGCTTAGAGTGTAAATATTGACTCAATGGAGTATTTCAGACTTTTCCGTAATGAGGAATCCGTTTTCAAGAATACGTAACTGTCGCATGATTTTGTCTTTAAATTCGATTGCAAAGCCGTCTGATCGATCCGGAGAAGACAATGGCTACATCTGTAGCTTATTACCAAATTCTCTACCGTCTAAGACCTTAAATACCTTATGTATCATTACTTATAAATAAAGAGTTTTTATCGATTTTGAGTGTTGATCTTAACTCGAACCATAAGACCATAAATTGCAAGCGGAATTCATGTTGTCGAAGAATCACCGAAGAGTGATAGAGATCTCGATAGGACTTAATTAAGTGTGCTATCTTTTGGCACGCGAAGAGTTTTACGTATTCAAACCATATGTTGATTAGATCTCCAAGAGAAGTGAGGAATCGATTTAAGGATCAATTTTCCATTGAAATACAATACTACCTTTTTGGTTTATTTTTAGTTCCGTTGATTTCGCGATACTTGAGTGATGTTTATACTGGTGGAGAGAATGCCGAAGAAGTGTTTAATGTAAATGTTTGTTTATAAGTGGGGTTATGTGTATTCTGATTCATAAATGAGCCTTTATTGCGTTCTTTGAATATCATCTGACCAACGTCAATGTTTTCTTTGGGCCAAACCTTCTAAAAGCCATGATTGTACTAAAGGGATGCTAAAAAAAGCGCGCGCAATGTTGCAGGTTCATAGGCTCTAGATTAAAAGCTGAATGCCTAAATCTCGCTTTCACTAGAGTGTTTTATGATGGTAATTGAACTGAGTGGAGTGCAATTTGGACCAAAATCATACGAGTGATTACAAGATTGCACGACCGCGTAGCGGGAGTGCAATTTGTTAATCACAAGTATGATTTTGGTCCAAAATTGCACGACACGAAGTTCAGTTACCACTTAATCATACCCTTTTTGTAATCATACACAAGAAAAAGACACAATAAAGAGTGCAGAATAATCAATTTAATGTAGTAGAAGATCTAAATGCGAACAAAAAAATCATCTAAAAAATTTTTGTTGATTTTTTTGTTTTATTTTGTTGTTTGAAAAAAAAAATTTTTTAGGATGCGATTTGGGAATTAATCGCACTCCTTTGAACCAATCAGATTGCAGGATTTGGTAGTGATTACAAAAAGGATATGATTAATGTTATAATCTAATTTGTCACATTGATAATAGCCGGTAAAAGTTCAAATTTGCCTCAACATTCTATCTCCTGCCCGGTAACAGAGCCTTTTTTCTTTTTCATTTTACATTTTTTTGCCAAAATGCTTAGTTTCAAAAATTCGTATCTTCGTAAATTTGAGGGTAATCTTTTAAAAAGTTTGCAATTTTAATATCATAAATGTCAGTGACAATTTTGATAGTCGTGTACTATATATTTTACTGAGAGATCAATTATCCTATAATGTCACGCTAGAGTACGGCCTATTTTCGTCAAAACACGTTATCGTTACGAAATCTGAAATGGAGATCTGAGATTAAACGGAATTTGTGCGCTTTCTGACTAAAATACGAAAAATCATCCGAAAGGTCGTGCTTCATGTTTCAAACTAAAAGGAAACTACGTTGTCTCATACTGACAACGTTTTTTTTATGTGTATAAAGAAAGAAAGAAAGAAAAATCGTGTAATGAAAGTTGAGAGCAAAAAAACACAAGCAAGCAGACACTGTGGACAATCGGAGAACTGTCATCAACTTGAACCAGACAAATCACAGCCTACAGGCACAACATTCATAGGGATTCCAAGGGTCTATTTACGTGTTAAGAGTCAAAGTTTTACAAGAAAAAATATTGTTTAAACAGAACTAGAAATTTCCCGAAGTTTGGTCGTGGAGTGACCACAAAACACGTGGTTGGACGTGATGTGTCCACACATTTAAATATTTCATCAAGTATATTAAGCGAATTCTTGAAAGGTGTATTGTTGAGTCCACAAAATCGTAAAAAAACTCATGCCATTGATCGATGCTAGGTCATTTCTTACTTAAAAGGAAGAAACTAATAAAATACAGTATTGATGCATTGGGATTAACAGTCTCTTAGCAGGCCGGCCACTTGTCATTTCCTTGAGTATTAATTTTCTACTCACAGGAAACGTGCGAGCAAAGTCTCTTTCCCTCCCTTCTTTAAGTGGGTAGGAGGAACTACGAATAATCTATCCCCCTCAATTTAGTACCGAAGGGAAATAAACGGCTCTGCTAACGGGGAACAGGAAACGATGTAACTCCAACAACTGAAATATTTGAAAATGCTTCAGCCAATTTTTTACACTTGCGACTACACTATATCTAAAAGTTTTAACTTAAGTTTTAACTTTAAAAGGTGTTTCTTGTGCTTGGATTATAGTCAAAGCCTGTGAATTTTGTTTCATCAATGAAATTTTCATCTGAATTTTTTTTTTTTCCGAGGAAAATTTGCTTGAAGAAACATAAATAGCATCATATCTCAAATTCATTTAGGGGGAGTGGTTTCGGAAGGGTTAAAAAGATCAGAAAAGTTAAAACAGGAAACAAGGTTCTGCTGAATTGCAGTTAAAAAAACATCCTGCCTTGTTCTTCAAGTTAATAAGGGCAAAATGAACGAGACAGTGAAACTGAGGTAAACTTTAAAATGGCAGATAAAGCAAAAATGGCAAAAATAAACTTATGAACACCTTTGCAAACGTTAGTACCATAATTTTTCTTGTTGAATGTTTTGTATAGTTTTTGTAATTTTATTGGGAGACTATCCTATAAGTGGTATCACCTCTCTAGTTCTCCTCAAAAGTTTGTTGAAAACATAATAGATAAATGAATAAATACTACGAGTAAATTCAGTACGATAAACATTCTTATAGGAAGCAATTACGAATTTTCACTCGGTGTACGTGGTTTCAACTGCTGGTACTGCTAAACGTGGCCTAACGCTCAATGACAGCATCAGCAAAATCTAGATATCATAAAGCCGATATAATAATGAAAATTGCTGAGAATCCTTGCTACCATTCATCACTAGCATGGCAAGATAGTTTGAAAACCAAATTGGGGAGGCGTTTAGAGAGCCCGGTGATAACAAAATAAGATATTGTCATCGTACTGATAAGGGAAAATAAGAAGCAAGCCAGTTTATTGTTGATCGAGTATTTTAGTCCAAAGGACAAAAGATGCCGTTCCAGGTTGCAGATAGGAAAGCATTTAATCGACCACCTCGAGTTAGAGATTCTGAACAGATGGCTTATACTTATATGGACTTCTTTCGATTTGGCGGGAACTTTTGGCGCCAAAACGCGCGTGGTCGAACTTCTTTGGAATTGGCGGGAATGTTTTTTTGCACTAAACCTCTCTACCTCTTCTTTAACTCTGAAGTATCGTTATCAGTGCCTTATTTAATGGCGCGCATAACCCTTAAATAAGGCTTAATAATGACCACGATAGGTTTTTCAAAGAAATAAAGAAATCGTCCTTGTTTTACGAGAGTACCACTTAATCTAATTAGCCAGTCAGCTTGGCTAACAAACTGCCCTCGTTTCATGAATTAGAATTTAGAARTTGATTTTTATGTAGGGACCGGATGAAAACTAGATAACCGTAGCAAAACTCTCGAAGGACAGGAGAAAACCAACTACCAACTTTATACTCACATATGAAACCGAGTTCAGAAACTCGGCGAACCGGGTCAGCATTGGTGAGAGGCGAGCGCTCTCGCCAGGGGGCTAACTAGAAAATTTTCCAGCTAACTTAGCCCTCAGGCTCTATTATTATATAAGAATCTTGTACAACTATATTTCCTATAATATATCTTTATTAATTACTATTGTATAAAAATACGACTCTAAAGAGCAATAAAAGCAAAAAAAAAAAAAAAAAAAAAAAACTAGAAAATTTTCCAGCTAACTTAGCCCTCAGGCTCTATTATTATATAAGAAATGTGTACATCTATATTTCCAATAATATATCTTTATTAATTACTATTGTATAAAAAAATACAACTCTAAGAGTAATAAAAGACAATCAAAATCAAAATTAAGAAAGCAACGGCTGACTAAAATTCCCGAAGGCTCATGAGGTTTAAAAATTGTAAAAAAAATA